GGGCTCCAGATCTCTTTACAGATGGTTGTGAGCCACCATGTGGTTGCTGGGAATTGAACTCAGGACCTCTGGAAGCACAGGCAGTCTCTTAACCACTGAGCCATTTCTCCAGCCCTATAGTAGGCTTTTAGAACCCCAAATGACATGGCCAGAAGAGAACCTTTCTGCATCATGTGATAGTGGAAAATATTAAGCTATCCTATGAAAAAGGATAGTGCATGCTACAAGAGAAGAGTGACAAGTTCCCTTCAAAGGAACTACAGTGGACTTCATGGGCAAAAGGTTTTTTTTTTTAATTTATTTATTTATTAAAGATTTCTGTCTCTTTCCCGCTACCGCCTCCCATTTCCCTCTCCCTCCCACAATTAAGCCCCCCCCCTCAGCCCGAAGAGCTATCAGGGTTCCCTGACCTGTGGGAAGTCCAAGGACCACCCACCTCCATCCAGGTCTAGTAAGTTGAGCATCCAAACTGCCTAGGCTCCCACAAAGCCAGTATGTGCAGTAGGATCAAAACCCATTGCCATTGTTCTTGAGTTCTCAGTAGTCCTCATTGTCCGCTATGTTCAGCGAGTCTGGTTTTATCCCATGCTTTTTCAGACCCAGGCCAGCTGGCCTTGGTGAGTTCCCAATAGAACATCCCCATTGTCTCAGTGTGTGGGTGCACCCCTTGCGGTCCTGAGTTTCTTGCTCGTGCTCTCTCTCCTTCTGCTCCTGCCAGAAGCCAGTAAATCATTGAGTGATATATCTCAGTCTCTGACAGAAAATAAATGTCAGTCAACATTACTACACCCAGAGATGTGATCCTTTAAGATGGATGATGAAATAAGGACTTTCCATGATAAACACAAAGGAAAGCAGCACATGACTAGCTAACCTAGCACAACGGGACTAGCTTGAAGAAGCACCACACTGAGAAGGGGGTGCACACTGATGCACAAGCACCTGAGAATGAACACCTCTTACTAGAAGAGCAAACAAATGAGAAGTAGAAAGAATCAAGCCTTAGTGACATAGCAAAACAACAAGTTACTAAGATGAAGGGAGATTAGTTCATAATCGCTTAATTAAATCAATGTAAGAAGCCTTAAGTCTCAAATCAAAATTAAAAGAGGCAGCCTTGGGGCTGGAGAAATGGCTCAATGGTCAAGAGCACTGACTGCTCTTATAGAGGACCTGGGTTCAATTCCCAGCACCCAAATGGAGGCTCACGATCATCTGTAACTCTAGTTTGAGGGGATCCTACACCCTCCTCTGACCTCTACTGACACCAGGCATGCATGCACACACAAGCACATGGGATACATGGAGAAAAACCACTTAAACAGATAAAACAGTAAAAAAATAAATCCTTAAAATACATTGTGATAAATTATCAAAGAATTGCTTAAATAATATTCATTTAAAATAAAAATAACAGCAAAAGCAAACAACTACAATACCCTTGATCAAATATTTTAATGTAAATCCTGAAAGTTAGAAACTTCTAGAGGAAAACGAAGGAACTTTGCAATGTAGACACAGGCAGTGTTTTCTGAACAGGACTTCAATAACTCAGGAAATACTGTCAAGAGTTGCCAAGTGACAAACATAAAATTTAAAACCTTCTCAAAATGAATTAGTAGAGTGAGGTGGTAGCCTTAAAATGGAAGAAAGTTTTGTCAGCTATTATCCAGAAGATAAAGGAGCTCAGGAGATTATATGTCAAACGAACACGGCAACAACAATAAAACCAAATCAATAAACAGCAAATGAATTAAACAAATACTTTTAAAATAAAGACACAGAAATGGCCAATAAATACACGAAAAGAGTGCACCATCTTTACTTGCTAGGGCAATACAAATCAAAACTATGTTCGGATTCCATTTCACCCTAGTGAGAATGCCTGTCAACAAAAGAAAGTACAAAGTGGCCTACTCAGGAAGCTGAGATAGTAAGACTACAAGTTCAAAGCTTGTCTGAACTCCTGAGTGAGCTCAGTTCAGGCTTAGCAACTTAGTAAGACCATGTTTCAAAGTAGAAAGTAAAAAGAGGACTGGACAAACAGCTACATGTATGATGACCTAAGTTCAATTCCCCTGTACTGCAATAACAAGAAAGTGCAACATAAAGGCTCAGCTCCAAGCTAGGCGGTGATTGTGCATGCCTTTAATCCCAGCACTTGGGAGACAGAGGTAGGTGAATCTTTATGATTTTGAAGCCAGCCTGGTATATATACATAGTAAGTTCCAGGATAGCTAGGGCTGTTACACAAAGAAACCCTGTCTTGGAAAAAAAAACCCTCAGCTATGCTGAGCAGAGGTAGAAGGACTGAATTCAAAGCCAGCCTTGGCTTCATAACAAGTCTGAAGCACATTTGAGCTATATAGTTAGTGGGATCATGCCTCAAAAGTTAAAGGAACAAAACCCAACAAATGGTGGAAAGGATATAGGGAAAAATGAACCTGAACCTTTATATTAATAGTAATTAGTACAGCCACCATAGAAATAAGTATGTAGATCCATCAAAATTCAGGTCACTTTAATCTAGATTTCACTATATGTTCATGTTTACTGCTATTCCCAAAGTCCAAGTGGCAGAATCAGCCCCCAAACAGATGAATGCACAAAGAACGTATAACACAATGTGGAATTGTGTTTCTTCTCAAAAAGAACAAAATTACCTCTTTCATATAAAAAAGCATGGGGCTGGAGACACCATGATGTGCAAGATGTAACTCAGCCTAACAGGCGAGTGTCTCATGTTTAAGTGTTTATTAGCATATGTAGAATTTAGCGTGGAAAAAGGTCATGGAAGGGAAAGGTCAGGGGTAGTGGCTCGGTGTTTGACATTTGCCTGGCATGTACAAAGTTCTGGTTTACTCTTTGGTACTGCAAAAAAGGAGTTATTAAAAATATCTAAGATAGGGCTAGCAAGATGTCTCAGCAGGTATAAGTGCTTGCTGGCAAACCCAATGACCTGAATTTGATCCAGAACCCACATGATGGAGCAAGAACACAAATTCTCTAACTGCTATCAAGAAAACAAATGTTGCAGAGAAACCTTCTTATTCATTCTGGTGGGATATAAAACTAGTACACAGTCACTATGGAAATCAGTGAGGACTTTTCTCAAAACACTAAACATAGAAATATCTTATCATTCAAATATACCCCTCTTGGATATATACTTGAAAAGAATCAGCCTAGATGTCTATCTATAGACAAGTGGATAAAATGTGGTACATATAGATAATGGAATTTTATCTACTCATTATAAAATGAAATATATTTTTAATAAAATGAGATCATGGGATAACAAAATGAAATCATGACATTTACAGGAAAATGAATGCAACTGGAGATCATCACATAACGTGAAATCATCCAGAGTCAGACAAATACCAAGCACCACGTGTTTATGCTTATGTACAGAACCTAGATTTAAGTGTGTCTAAAGGGCTGGGAAAATGGCTTAGCAGTTAAGAACATTTGCTGAGGGCCTGGATTCAGTTTCCCAAACACACGTGGTGACTCACAACTGTCTGTAACTTTAGTTCCAGGGAATCTGCTGAGTGTGCCAGACACACACATGGTGTACATACATGCAAGCAAAATACTCATACACATAAAATAAATAAATCTAAAAAATTACCAGGCACATATGTGGTGTACATACATGCAAGCAAAATAATCATATACATAAAATAATTAAATCTACAAAAGAAAGGAATCTAGTGGGGTGCATAGAGGATATGAGGGAAGCCAGGGGGAAGTGAGCAAATAAGTCAATGTATAATATCACACATGTACGAAAATGTCATTATGCCAACCTAAAATTTATTTAAAGAAAAAGTTAATAAAAATTATATTCTGTTTTGAAAAAAAGTATAAGGGGCAAAGTAGGAAGGGTAAGATTGACAAGAAAGAATACTAGAGTGTGTGAAAATAATCAATGTATGTAAATTTATGTTTAAAATGTTATAATGCAATCCATTACAATATATACAATTACTATGCTACTAAAATAAATTCTCACTTAATGCTTTTAGGACTATTAAATTCATTAGGAAACTTACTACAGTCTCCTTTTTCTACTAAAAGAATAGTTCATCAAACATTTTAGCTAGAACACTATTGATCTAACATTTATAGTTGTTTCTTTTTTAAAAAAGTTCTGAGTAGTTTTCAGTGTTATTTACTGTACATGAATATAGCAAATAAGGAAAGTGAAGAGAATGGTCAGTACTTTATTTTTAATTATTTTTTATTGTGTGTTTCTTTTTAAAATAATTTGTTTAGTTTTATTTTATGTGCATTGGTGTGAGGGTGTTGGATCCCATGGGACAGAAAGTTGTGAGCTATCATGTGGATGCTGGGAATTGAACATGGGTCCTCTGGGAGAGCAGCCAGTGCTCTTAACCTCTGAGCCATCTCTCCAACCCCTTAATTGTATATTTCTTATTGAGTTTCTGTATGCACATAAACGCAGGTATCCTGGTGGCCATAGGCATCAGATCTCTGTTGGAGCTGGAGTTGCAGATGGTTTCTCACAATGTGATGTGGGTGCTGAAGTGTGGTCCTCTGTTAGAGCAATCTCTGCTCTTAATTGATGAGCCATCTTTCCTGGCCCAGGTTCAGTATTTTGGAGGAAGGTTGCAAATTTTGTTTTGAGTGTTCTAGCAGCAATCATAAAAGCACACTGGTGGATAGCAAAATGCACCAAAACATCTTTTTGAAGGTTTATTGAACATTAAAAATATGTATCTAGAAGAAATGTTTGTCCAAGTCTTTCAGAAGAGCACTCACTCCTTAAAATTAAGCTTTGATTAGTGTTAAACAGTAGAGAGTTTATAAAAATCTTTGATAGGCAGCAAAGCATCTTTTTAGGGTCACTGTCTCTTTAAGGGGCGTGTACGTTTGCATAATTTCATGAACGTTCTGGAACGTGTCACAAAACGTGACAAAGCTCGACGCCATTTTAAGTCCTGGCCCGTCGACTCCCTCAGGCAGTGTGAGCCATGGAGCGCGCCAGGGGAGCACGCTCTAAGGGTGCTCTCGCTGAGGCCGGGCCCCCCAATGTTCCGAAAGCCCGTCCGGCTGCTGGTTCGGAAGATGTGGGCTCCGGGGAGCCCCAGGCTGCCGGGGGCCTGGGTGCCGAAGGTGCTGAGGCCACTTCTGACAGGAGAGGGGCTCGCGGCTCCAGGGCTCGTGGCTCCGGGGCTCGCGGCTCCAGGGCTCGCGGCTCCGTGTCTCGTGGTGGTTCCAGGTCTCGTGGCGGCTCCGTGTCTCGTGGCGGCTCCAGGGTTCGCGGCTCCGTGTCTCGTGGCGGCTCCAGGGTTCGCGGCTCCGTGTCTCGTGGCGGCTCCAGGTCTCGTGGTGGCTCCGGGTCTCGGGGCTCCGGGTCTCGGGGCTCCGTGTCTCAGGGCTCTGGGTCTCGCGGCTCCCCGTCTCGGGGAGACTCCAGGGCTCGCGGCTCTGGGTCTCGGGGCTCCAGGGCTCGGGGAGGCTCCAGGGCTCGCGGCGCCAGGTCTAGGGGCTCCGGGTCTCGGGAAGGCTCCGTGTCTCGCGGCTCCGGGTCTCAGGGCTCCGGGTCTAGGGGCTCCGGGTCTCGGGGAGGCTCCAGGGCTCGCGGAGGCTCCAGAGCTCGCGGCTCTGGGTCTCGGGGCTCCGGGTCTCAGGGCTCCGGGTCTCGGGGCTCCGGGTCTCGCGGCTCCGGGTCTCGGGGCTCCGTCTCTCAGGGAGGCTCTAGTGCTCGCGGCTCTGGGTCTCGGGGCTCCGGGTCTCTGAAAGGCACTAGGGCTCGCGGCTCCGGGTCTCGGGGAGGCTCCAGGGCTCGCGGAGGCTCCAGGGCTCGCGGCTCCGCTTCTCAGGGCTCCGGGTCTCAGGGCTCCGGGTCTCGGGGCTCTGGGTCTTGGGGAGGCTCTAGGGCTCGTGGCTCCGGGTCTCAGGACTCAGTGTCTCGGGGAGGCTCTAGGGCTCGCAGCTCCGGGTCTCAGGGCTCCGGGTCACGGGGCTCCGTGTCTCGGGGAGGCTCTAGGGCTCGCGGCTCCAGGGCTCGTGGTGGCTCCAGGGCTCGCGGCTCTGGGTCTAGGGGAGGTTCCAGGGCTCGCGGCTCCTTGTCTCGGGGCTCTGTGTCTCGGGGCTCCAGGGCTCGCAGCTCCGGGTCTCGGGGCTCCAGGGCTCGCGGCTCTGGGTCTAGGGGAGGTTCTAGGGCTCGCGGCTCCTTGTCTCGGGGCTCCGGGTCTCAGGGCTCCAGGGCTCGTGGTGGCTCCAGGGCTCGCGGTTCTGTGTCTCGGGGCTCTGTCTCTCGGGGAGGCTCTAGGGCTCGTGGCTCCGGGTCTCAGGGCTCCGGGTCTCAGGGCTCCGTCTCTCGGGGAGGCTCTAGTGCTCGCGGCTCTGGGTCTCGGGGCTCCGGGTCTCAGGGCTCCAGGGCTCGTGGTGGCTCCAGGGCTCGCGGCTCTGGGTCTCGGGGCTCCAGGGCTCGCGGCTCTGGGTCTAGGGGAGGTCCCAGGGCTCACGGCTCCGTGTCTCAGGGCTCTGTGTCTCGGGGCTCTAGGGCTCGCGGCTCTGGGTCTCGGGGAGGCTCCAGGGCTCGCGGTTCTGTGTCTCGGGGCTCTGTGTCTCAGGGCTCCAGGGCTCGCGGTTCTGTGCCTCGGGGCTCTGTGTCTCGGGGCTCCAGGGCTCGCGGCTCCGGGTCTCGGGGAGACTCCAGGGCTCGCGGCTCTGTGTCTCGCGGCTCCCGGTCTCGGGGCTCCGGGTCTCAGGGCTCCGGGTCTCGCGACTCCGGGTCTCGGGGCTCCGGGTCTCGGGGAGGCTCCATGTCTCGGGGCTCCGTGTCTAGGGGAGGCTCCAGGGCTCGTGGCTCCGGGTCTCGGGGCTCCTTGTCTCGGGGAGGCTCCGTGTCTCGGGGAGGCTCCAGGTCTCGGGGAGGCTCCAGGTCTCGGGGAGGCTCCGTGTCTCCGGGAGGCTCCAGGGCTCGGGGAGGCTCCGTGTCTCGGGGAGGAGGCTCCAGGGCTCGGGGCGGCTCCGTGTCTCGGGGAGGAGGCTCCAGGGCTCGGGGAGGCTCCGTGTCTCGGGGAGGCTCAAGATCTCGGGGAGGCTCCGTGTCTCGGGGAGGCTTAAGATCTCGGGGAGGTTCCGTATCTCGGGAAGGCTCCAGGTCTCGGGGAGGCTCCAGGGCTCGGGGAGGCTCCGTGTCTCGGGGAGGCTCAAGATCTCGGGGAGGCTCCAGGGCTCGGGGAGGCTCCGTGTCTCGGGGCGGCTCCGTGTCTCGGGGCGGCTCAAGATCTCGGGGAGGCTCCGTGTCTCGGGGAGGCTCCGTGTCTCGGGGAGGCTCCAGGTCTCGGGGAGGCTCCAGGTCTCGGGGAGGCTACAGATCTCGGGGAGGATCCAGGGCTCGGGGAGGATCCAGGGCTCGGGGAGGATCCGGGACTCGCGGCTCCGGGCCTCGAGGTGGCTCCGGGTCTCGTGGCAGCTCTGGGTCTAGCGGCTCCGGGCCTTGCGGCTCCAGGGCTCGTGGTTCCAGGGTTCACGGCCCCGAAATTGGCGGTCCCAGGGTTCATGGCCAGGAGGTTCAGGGCCCCGAAGTTCACAGCCCAGAGATTTGCAGCCCTGAAGTTAGCGGCCCAGAAATTCGCGGCCCTGAGGCTCTGGGTCCCGTTGTCCGCAGCCCTGAAATTTGCGGCCCTGAGGCTCCGGGTGCCGGGGTTCGCAGCCCCGAGGTTTGTGGCCTGGAAATTCACGGCCCTGAGGCTCCGGGTCCTGTGGTTTGCAGCCCCAAGATTCGCAGCCCTGAGGCTCCGGGTCTAGTGATTCGTAACCCCGAGATTCGCGGCCCTGAGGCTCCGGGTCTAGTGGTTCGCAGCCCTGAGATTCGCAGCCCTGAGGCTCCTGGTCCCATGGTTCACAGCCCCGAGGCTTGGGGTCCCGGGGCTCGTGGTCCTGAGGTTGGCGGCCCTGTGGCTCGGGGTTCCAGGGTTCGCGGCCCTGAGGCTCTGGGTCCCGCGGCTCGTGGCCCTGAGGCTAGGGGTCCTGGAGTTCGCAGCCCTGAGGCTAGGGGTCCTGGAGTTCGCGGCCCTGAGGCTAGGGGTCCTGGAGTTCGTGGCCCTGAGGCTAGAGGTCCTGGAGTTCGCGGCCCTGAGGCTAGGGGTCCTGGAGTTCGCGGCCCTGAGGCTAGAGGTCCTGGAGTTCGCGGCCCTGAGGCTAGGGGTCCCGGAGTTCGCGGCCCTGAGGCTAGAGGTCCTGGAGTTCGCGGCCCTGAGGCTAGAGGTCCTGGAGTTCGCGGCCCTGAGGCTAGGGGTCCCGGAGTTCGCGGCCGTGGAGTTCGCGGCCCTGAAGTTCTCGGCCCAGAGGTGCCGGGCAGCTGCCGGCCCAGGCCCCAGGGAAACCGCGGCAGCGGGCTTCCCAGCAGCAGCAATGTCTTAAAGTCCCTGCGAGGTGAGTGGCTTTGGAACTTAGTTTTTCAGAAAGGGGGTGGGGGTGGGGACAGGACTTGGGACCTTGCAAGGTCCCCTGAGGTGTGACACCTGTCGGCCTGGCCTCAGCCTCAGTGACAGAAAGAAATGGCCGCGGGGCTCTGAGGAGAGCCCGCCACAGCCGGATGGTTTGGGGCCCTGTGGGACTGCTAGCCATACCTCCGGTGGCAGCGTGGGGCTTCGCCAGGGGGGCGACTCTGTCACTGCCCAGGCAGGACCTCTCAAGGCCCTAAAGGGGCTTCCTAGGTGTGGCGGCAGGTGCAGGCCACAGCAGACAGGGCGGGACATTTGGGGCGCGCGCGCATGTGGGGAGGGGGTTGCGGGAACCGCAGGCAGCGCCAGTGGCAGTGTGGGGCCTCGGCGGGGGGCGTCTCTGTCGCCCAGGCTGGGACTCGCGAGGCTCAGGGACAGAGCGGCAGCCTTACTACTGTAACTAAGTCTTGGCGGTGTGGCCCATGGCCCGCCAGTTAGAGTGGGGCCCGAGGGGGCGGCTTTCCCCAGGGGCTACGTGGGTGGCGCATTTGTCACTCGGCAAAAGGGGGACTCGCGCGCCCTCAAAGGTCTTGACAAGCGCGACACCTGTCGGGAGAATGTTCGGGAGGCAGCCGGGACCCCTTGAAGGCCGAGACCGAATGTCATGGCGACCGCTTGCAGCAGCGCCCAGACCTGGCCAGTCAGTTTTCGACCTAGAAAGGGTGGCGTGTTTGCCCCCCTACAAACGGAGGAGCTGGTGAACCCCGAAAGGTTGCCCGCTCCCTGTGCAGTGACAGTGGAGGGGAAGGAGCAAGCTGCTGCCCAGACCCTGAGACGGAAAGTCATGGCAGACTGCTCTGAGGCCCGGGCAGGGCTGGCCATTAGCTTGGGGCCTCCGCGGTGACGGATTCATGCCCTCCTGGGGGAGCTGGTCTAGTGACAGGGGCTCAGACACGGGACTAAGCACTGTGCCACCCCCGTCTGTGTGAGTGCTGGCATCCCAGCACCAGAGGCGGGCGGCCTCACTTTGCCCCTGCTGGTGTGAGTGAGCGCTGGGGCCCCAAGGGCCCTGGCGGGCGCCACTAGCGCTTTGTCTAGGAGGCTGCAGCAAAGCAGCACGCGAACGGCCTCTGGCTTCGAGGCTGGAGCCCTCCGCGGGCGTGGCGGGGCCGGGCCTCTGCTTTAGCTGGCAGCCGGGGACCTGGCGGGGCACACACCTCGTCTTCACCAGAAGCTCTGCGGGCTGTGGATCCCAGGCAGCAGGGCGGCGCGACCCGGCCAGTGCTGCGCTGCAGGATCGCGAGCTCCGGGAAGGTGGGAAGGTGTCGCCACGGTGTTGCTCCTCAGCCAGGCCGGCAGTGAGGTGTGAAGGCTTAGGTGGCTGTTCAGGGGCTCTTTGAGCACGAATGAGCAGTAACGTCCGCAGCAGAAGTCTTACTTTGGGTCCCAAGAAAAGACCACGGGGCAGTTTCTGTCCCCACAGGCAGCTGGACTTGTACAGTCCCGCCGACCTAGGCTGCCTGCTGTGCGTGCCTTCGTGCTGGCGCTGGTGGCTGCTTCCTTCCAAAGCTCCTGCCAGAGGGAGCTAAGCCAGACGTGCATGGGTGGACACTGACCTGCTCATTTCAGTAGGCAGCCAAGAGTGCCTTATGGAATTTTAAAAAAACAAACTAAGAAAAATGACTATTTTGGGGAAAAAGCGGATTCACTTCTTTAAGTTTTTACTAATATTCTTTTCTTTAATTTTTTTAAATTTACTTATTTATTAAGGATTTCTGCCTCCTCCCCACCACCGCCTCCCATTTCCCTCCCCCTCCCCCGATCAAGTCCCCCTCCCTCATCTGCTCAAAGAGCAATCAGGGTTCCCTGACCTGTGGTAAGCCCAAGGACCGCCCACTGAAAAAGCATGAGATTAAATCCGGACTAGCTGAACATAGCGGGCAATGAGGAATACTGAGAACTCAAGAACAATCGTAGTGGGTTTTTGATCCTACTGCACGTACTGGCTTTGGGGGAGCCTAGGCAGTTTAGATGCTCACCTTTCTAATATTCTTTTCAACTAGGTGTTTCACCTTCCCTCCCGTCAGACCTTTTTTTACTACGGCTATTAGCAAGGGAATGGTTTGAAATAGTTTGAGTTCCTAAAGTTTTCATTCTATAAAAGAGAATTTACCAAAAAGGCATTAAAATGAGCGAAATAACCTAATCTTAGTTCTGTTGAGAAGTTTAAAAGATATTTACTGATCTGATAAAATCTTGCTTAGCAATATTTTCCTTAAACTCTGTGACTGTATTCCCAGCCTTCAATGTTTTCTATCTTCTCCCGTGGTATGCCCAGCCCCAAGATTATTTCACAGACTTTTTACTTTAAAATTGTGCATAAGTGTGTACTAATTCTGCAAAGGGTTTTCATTGACATGTTTGTATATGTATATGGTTATGATCACATACACTCTTATGCTTATTTTTCATTATTTGTACACATGTATATGTATTTATAAACAAAACATATACATAATGGAATTTTAATAAAAAAATTTAATACTTGAAAATTTGTTCAACACCCTTAGCCCTCAGGAAAACACAAATTAAGACTGCTTTGAGATTTTGTCTCACCTCAGTCAGAATGACTGCCATCAAGAAAACAAATGTTGCAGAGAAACCTTTTTATTCATTCTATTGGGATATAAACTAGTACAGTCACTATGGAAATTGGTCTGGATGGAGGGTCTGTGGTCTGTCTAATCAAAGGTTCTTTGCCTCATAAACAGTGCCAATTATGGGTTCTTATTTCATAGAGCAATCCTTAAATTAAGTCAGAGAACGGTGGGCTATGCCCATTGTACAAGTGGGCTTATGTTGCCAGAACAATTCTCATTGTAGCTTGCAGGATTCATAGCTGGATGACACTATTTTTCTGTTTTGGTAGTGTGCATGGCACCTTGAAGCACTATGAAAGCTAGCCAGTGGGTTGAAAGTTCTAGATAATCTGAACCTTCTCCATTTTTATGATCAAATACATAGTGTATTCAGCAAAAGGGTTTTACCACCAAATTCTTGGGGGGGTAACCAAGGGCATTTTGCAGTACCCTTTGATGTTATGGGGGTCTTTGGGACCCCCATTTGTCAGCAAACCAAAAAGAGGTAACCAATTTCTAGTACTGAGGTTTTTATTTGTAAGCATGTGATTTCAACTTGAGGTATTGTCTCCTACCATAGGGTATCTTCTGTTAAACTTTTTATTTATGTTACCTATATAATTCAGGAAGCTTCTGCAGTAGTAGGTTTTCATATGTCTTTTCCAAAATATCTTTAGTGTTAGTTATCCTCCATATTCCTCCTGCCTTGCCCTCTTTCCCCACCCCACCCCATTTAACCCTCCCTTTCCCAGTATTATACTAAGTGCTTTGGTTCCACCTTAAAAGAGTCCCATGTTCCTATGTGTTAAAAGAATGGATGCTTTTAAGAAAGATTTGGATTTAAAACTCAGGTCCCAGATGATGATTTACAGAGTATTTAGGGATGTGCATCAACTAGAGCTTTTACCCTAACTTACTGTATAAGGTACACATGATTGGTCTGAAATCCCTCGAATTTGGATTAGACTATTCATTTTACATAAGATGTATTCTTAAAAGAAAATATTCCTCTTGTGCTGAGTGCATACTAAACATGCATGAGGTATTGAGACAAATCTATCTTAAGATTATTTTAAATATTCTTATAGAAATCTGGTGACTTTAAGGATTAAATGAAAGGACATATCTAAAGCACCTAATTTAGTAAGTCTGAGCGACAGAATACATGACAATTAGTCATAATAATTAATAAATAAAATCAGATTTTGTGTCCTATTCATATCACCCTTTTAAAGAATTTTATCTATTCCATGAAGCTAGTGTACATGGTCTAGATATATAAGCATGGGACACATTCTTGCAAAGGAAGTGCTCAGCCATTGCAATTGAGCCATAACAAGTTTCTTGTTATTCCATAGACTTCCTAATTACAACTATTCGTTTATTTGGGTGAATTAAATATTGAAAATTAAGTATTTGTTCACTTCAAATTAGTATGTGCAGATAAGTTCTGGGTTGATTTCATTCTTTTTTTTTTATTTCCTTCTTTGGCTTGCATTCAGCCATATAGAGGCCATTTAGCTGAAGTTGACTCTTTTAATTTGACAGAACAAGAATTTTTCCAAAAATATTAAATCATGTTTCACAACAGCTTAATTAATTCATCAAGTTACATTGTGTAATTTGAATTGACTTTGGAAATGATGACTTTTAGAAATCAAGATGTCAAATAAAGTATTTCTAAACTTCTTTTCCATGAGAATTATGGGTAAGATCTTATATAAAATAATATAATCAGAGATGGTCAGCAGAGTGAGCAAGAGTTTGTAGTGACTTTGTTTTTTTTTGTTTTTTATGAACTCAAAGCCATGACTTTAAAGCATGAAGAATCTCAAGATATTGAGGAACAGTTTATATTGCGTCTGCCTCAGGTAAGTAACATTTATATCTCAGAATAAATGTCTTCAGTGCAAAAGTGTAGCTCTGCTTAGGTAACACTAGCATTTCAGGTTATAAAAACTCAGAACATTTGCTTCCCAGAAGTCATGTTCTATTAGCAGTCCTATTGTAGTTCATATTCTTCTCACAATATTTCTTTCTTCCTGTATATACCATCAATCATATGGGTTAATTCTCTGTCAAAACAACTATGACAATGACAATTATGAATCATCTGGTCATTTAGCACAAACATTTACAGCCAATTTTGTGGACAGCCAAGGTAAGACTTGTAAAATTCTTTCTGTCATCTCAGAAGAGTTGGTTGGAGAGACTACCATTGTCATCTGCAAATTCATCACCAAGCAGAGTTGTCAAACTCATTTAAACTTTAAGCTTGACTCTCCCCATTGAAAACCATGTTTGAGTATTATTTCATTTTGGAGGCTATGATAGAGATGGTCAGAAAGTTATTATCATTATAGTTAATCAACATATCTAGTAAACTATAGCTAATACCTTTCCTTAGCAACTACAATGGAAGGATAAGCAGTAAGAAGTAAAACTGAAAAACTGGGAGAAGACACAAAGTGTAGTTTCTAAAAGATAGTGATGAAATTTGAGTTGAGTTCATTTAATTTGATTTATACAATGCATGGGCTTTCATGGTACATAGCATAGTTAACATTTGGAAAATGTAAGGTTTTGTTTAAGGAAGACTATTAGACAATCTTTATGATTTTTAATTTACCTCCTTTTTAGGAACAGGCTTATGCTGTCAGAAAGATTATACATTCTCGAGGTCCTGGCATGAAGGATAAACTAAAAATTGGCTTTGCCCGTAAGTAGTTAATATCAATTCACAATATATTAAACAAAACAATAATTTGCTACAGATTATGTGAAAGGCACTATATTAGGCATTAAAGGTGTGAAAAATAGAGTATGTTATGGTTCTAACCTTTAGAAAGCATACATACACAATGTTACAATCAAATGCTTTTTTTTAAGGAATGTTTAAATGAATGAAATTTGCTGTTGGAGATAACAAGGAAGCAGTTGCTGTCTTACTCATCTTTGCTACCATTAGAAAGAAACTTAGATATTTTTGAACTAGTAACATACAGTG